AGAAAGAACCCTTCCACCCACCACCCACTTCCAAATACTCAGTGAGGAGAGACTGGGGGAAAAATATTTTTCAACACGAAGAAACTTGGTGCAATGCGCTTAATTTTTAACATTAGGAAACTGAGACCCAGAAAGATGACGTGATGGGAACAAAAGAAGTACGGGAATTAATATTTACTTGGCATCAGCATCTGTAAATGTACATCTTGCCAGAGGCTTTATAAACACTAATTCATTTAATTCTTGACATTCAGCCTTTTTTTTTTTTACCTGTTCTGCCCCTCTTGGTAATGTTTATACATTTATTAGGCCATATTTTTTTAAATCTCCATGATCCAACAATATTAATGTCAGTTAGAATAAGTGGTGAATGTCCGTGGAAATTAAATGGCAGCAAAGAGCTGATGTTGACAAGATGACAAAGGAAGTGTAGAAAAGAAGTTCTGAAGAGTAGCCTAAAAGAGGTGGGGAGATAGCAGCAAGACAAAATAAGGCTCTTCATTGGGTAGTCTGACACTCTTGCCTCCCAGGAAAGATGAACCGGAACGTAACTACAAGTCAGTGAGTGTGCACATACAGATTTTCAGGGCTACAATGTGGATAAGATGGCTGAAAATCAGGATATTTTGTATTTTGGGTGCCATTAGCACCCAATTACTAAACCATATGTATATGCCATATTCACTTAGGCACATTAAATAATTTTTATTTAATCATAAAATTTGCAATTAATGATAAGGTTTGAAGGGCTTAAGAAGGTGAATCAAATGGCACTGAGGAGACAGACAGCATGTCTGTCTCAAGGTTTCTCTTCTGCAGGGTCACTGGGCAATGTTAAGTGGGAATAACATTTGAAGGCAGGGAAGACATGACTTGGGGGGGGGGTGGTTTAGGGTAGCCACAGACTCGAACCAAAAGATGGGACAGCCTCTGATCTGCAGGAACTTTTCTGTTCCCACCGCACCTCCACCCACTCTTTGACATTCCCACTGTATTTCCCTTAGAAATGCACCTGTTGGACTTTTTCAGATATATGACTTTTGGCCAGTGGGCCTGGGGAGGAAAAATAAGTGCTAAAGCCTTACCAGTGATTTACCTGAGTGCCAACCACCACACCCTTACACACTCACACACACACACACACACACACACTTCAAACTCCTCCAAGCAGAGATGCCTTGTGCTTGACACGCAGTGACACTTCAAGAAAGGTGTCGTGTATAGAATACCTGCTAAAAGACAGGCATTGTGCCAAGTATTTATGTATATATTTTTAATTGATTTCAGAGAGGAAGGGAGAGGGAAAGAGCGATAGAAACATCAATGATGAGAGAAAATGATTGACCTGCTACCTCCTGCACGCCCCACACTGGGAATCCAGCCCACAACCCAGGCATGTGCTGTGACCAGGAATCAACGGTGACCTCCTGGTTCATAGGTCGACACTCAACCACTGAGCCACACCAGCTGGGTGCTAAGTATTTTTTACATCTAAGCCTATGCTATTATCTCCCATTTTACAAATAAAGACACTTTAGTTCCAATAATTAAATCTCTCTAAGGTGAGACTACTGAGAAATGGCCTAACTGGGGGGTTCTGATTACAAAGTCCTTAAGGTCTCTTAGTTGCATCCAGCTGAACCTCCTGCCCCCACCTCTAAGTATCACTGTACAGGACAGGGGCAAGGACAGATTAGAATAATGAGAGAAGAAATCTGCAGAAGTTTTGAGTGGAAAGGAGACTCTAGTGCTGCTTCTCTCCTCTTTTCTATTCTCTTGCTGACTGAAGTTGCAAGTGATCGCTTAGGACTAGTTCTAGACTTGGAGAAGAGAGAATGGAGCCTTGTTATTTCTGTGGGCCCCAGCCCTTCTGACCAGAGTAAGTAGTGGGTCAACGAGGAGAAGCATTATGCAGAAATTTAGTCACACCATCTCTGACATTGTATCACTTGGAAATCTAAATGTGGGGACACTACCTCAATAGGATGGATATAACCCAGGATTGGGACTGGAGAGGGAAGGGAAGATGACTGCTTACAACCCAAGGTTCTCTCCTCAAAACATTTAGCTTTCTTAGAAACCATCAGCCTGGATTGGATCTAATCAGAGCCAACCCAGCTCTTTGAGCTGAAAGAATCATGACATAATTCTTTTCCTTCATCTTTCTTTGTTACCAGGGTTTAAGAATTTGGTCATTATAAAGAGGTGGATATGGGACTTGGATGAGCTAGTTAAGTCAATGCTCTTCACATTTTTTAGCAGTAGTAGCTTTTTCTTTTTCCAACAAAATTTTTAATGGAGCCAAAATATTTAAAACAAATGATATAAGTATTAACTTAAATGTTTATAAGATCTTATAAAAACAAATCGGTGAGTATAGGCCACCTTAATTAAATTAGGTAGAGCATAAGTATGGTCTTACTTCAGCTATACACATATCCATGAAATATGAATTGGACATTTGCACAACTCTCAGAATCACCTCCTAGAATACAGAAAACACTGAGTCACGTTAACCCAGGACCTGGACCTTTGGTCAAAAGAATGAAAAAGGCTAGTCTCAAGAACAAAGAAAAAAACCTGTTCAAAGTATATCTGCCCTTTCCTTGTTACCTGGTAGGCAGTTTGCTATGTCAGTTACTCAAACGTTTATAAAGCAGTTATGAAATAACCAAGACCCTTTGTTGTATTACCAATGCTCTTGTCAACCAATGACCTCTCAAATAAGGCCTCCCTTTCCTATTCAATGGTAAGCAGTTCACAATGTAACCAGCTTACATAATGGGAAAGTATTTACTTTGATAGACACTTGACCTTGACCAATGTTTATTTTTTTTTAATATATTTTATTGATTTTTTTACAGAGAGGAAGTGAGAGGGATAGAGAGTTAGAAACATCGATGAGAGAGAAACATCGATCAGCTGCCTCCTGCACACCCCCTACTGGGGATGTGCCCGCAACCAAGGTACATGCCCTTGACCAGAATCGAACCTGGGACCCTTCAGTCCGCAGGCCGACGCTCTCTCTATCCACTGAGCCAAACCGGTTAGGGCCAATGTTTATTTATTGATAAAACATTTGAAAGTGTGCTGAGCCAGACACCTTGGGTACACAAAAATGGGTAAGATATAGTCTTGCCCTAGCAGTGGTTCTCAACCTTCCTGATGCTGCGACCCTTTAATACAGTTCCTCATGTTGTGGTGACCCCCAACCATAGAATTATTTTCGTTGCTACTTCATAACTGTAATTTTGCTACTGTTATGAATCGTAATGTAAATATCCGATATGCAGGATGTATTTTCATTGTTGCGACTCACAGGTTGAGAACCTCTGCAAGAAACTCATAGTGCAGTAAACAGTCAAAAGAACAGATTGAGAATATGTACAGTAAAGTGGGTGATTATAGTCATTTAGTGCTAAATTCAGAAGAATGCCAAGCCTGATATCTATAAATATATACCTTTTTCACCTATAAGAGTTTTATCCCATAAATTAAAGAATTGTACCCAGAGACTATCAGATTGAAAATCCCCACAAGCATTTAAAGATGGCTAGTAGATTTAAACACCAATGACAAATCTTTTGGACCAAAGTAACTGCTAAGAACATTATATTGAGAAGGATTCTAAGGTCATGTTTTAACTTAACAAGTAAAAACTCTACCATGAGAAAAGGAGGAGGAGAAGATAACAGCTGGCCACATGGCTAAATCAGGCCAATGAGATATGAGTGGAATATTCTAGGAAAGCTCTCTGAAGAGGCTTCCTCTTTTCTGCTTTCTGGAATGTGGACATAATGGCTGGAATTCAAGCATGCATGTTTGAGTACCAGGTGACCTTGAAGATGGAAGCCATGAACTAAGACAATGTCACTGTACTCTCTTTTACCTGAGAGAAATAAACTATTGTATAAGCTAGGACAAGAACAAGTAACATTGTCTCAGGAAGTGCTTGCCAGTGCTTAGATGGCTGATGAATTTCTTTTGGGCTACCACTTCAGCTAAATGCAACCATCTATAGGAACTCATTAATACACAAAGTGAGATCTATGGGATATTACCTGTTCTCACCCTGGCTGATCCCCTGCTCAGTCAGGGCATGTGTGGGAGGCAGCAATCTATGTGTCTCTCTCACATTGATATTTCTCTCTCCTCCTTCCCTGCCTTCCAATCGCTCTGAAAATTAATGGGGAAAAAATATCCTTGGGTGAGGAGTAACAAAAATAAAATGTCATCTGTTCTCTAATAACATAGTACCAGTTAGTATATCTGATTAGCCAGAGTGATCACCTCTCAAGGCACTAAATGAATAGTAGAACACTGGACAGCATCTTCACTCATAAAGGGTGTCCCAAAATTCACGGAAGAAGTAATTTTGATAGAAAACACAGTCTTATAATTAAAAATTGTAAATTTTTTATTGATTCATAAAGTATACAGTATAGGGTTATGTATGGAATAGCATATCGGGTAAATGGCCTCCACAGCTTTGCTGGCACATATACACTCTTTATTGAAATTTTCATGACTGTTTTGCATAAATGTGGCTGAATTTCGATGAGGCTCATTTTCATATTGATGGCTTGGTTAATCGACAAAATTGTCGCATTTGGGGTTCAGAAAATCCACGAGTGATTGTTGAGAAACAACTGCATCCACAACGTGTCACTGTTTGGTGCGGATTTTGGGCTGGAGGCATCATCGGACCATTCTTCTTTGAAAATGCGGCTGCTCAGGCAATAACAGTTAGTGGGGCTCGCTATCGCGACATGATAATCCAGTTTACCCGATATGCTATTCCATACATAACCCTATACTGTATACTTTATGAATCAATAAAAAATTTACAATTTTTAATTATAAACCTGTGTTTTCTATAAAAATTACTTCTTGTGTGAATTTTGGGACACCCTTTTAAAACAGAGGGGCCAGAGAAAAAGAGCAATGGGAGAACAAGACCTGCTCCAAGAGGGGATCCAGCCAGAAGCCAGCATGGAAGGCCTGGCGTACACAGGGGAAAACAAGGGGCACGTGCAAAGGGAATCAGGTGAAAAACAGTAAAACCAATGTAGGAAACACTCATTGTACCTGCTTCCAAAATGTATAGTTCACAACTTTGTCTTGGGGCACTTCTGTATATAAAGTGCTAAACAGAAAAGAGGAACAGGATTTAAGTCACCTATCTACAATACTCTAAAGATATGAATGGAGTAGGAAAAGATAGGACTTCTCAGGAAATAAAAGTACTCCCACCTTGCTAATATGTTTTTCCACTTATAAATTGGTATAACTGATTTTAAAATATTTGAAATAAATATTAATATTCATAGAGGCTAAGTTATTTGGGCAAAATCTGTTAAAATTTGCCATTTATAATACTGAAAAATTGAATGCAAATTAAATGCCTATGAAGCAATAAGTAGTTAAGTAAATTCTGCTCATGCAATGGAATTCTGTGAAGTCATAAAAATAAAGAT